TCTTTCCCCCGCCTTCTGCTTTTCTCAAAGGAAAGGCCACGGTTTCCTAATGAATACATGGTGAGCAGTTCTGTCCGTAGCACACTGTGATGAGTAAGTTGAATAGTGCATGGTGAGTAATCTCTCCTCATGACTCACAAAATATTTTCTGATGTTGACCTCTGTTTTTATGCCTGCCCTGCTTAATCAGAGCCGAAGTGAGTTTATTCTTTTGTATGCCGTTTAACTCCTTGACTCCCACGTACCTGCCCTGTTTTTTGCTTGCGTTAGGTTGCCAGACACCAATGATACTGTGTTAAAAATTTTAATTTTGGTATTGGGTGAGATACAGGCCTGGATAAAGGAAGTACGTTAGGTGCTCGGATGGGTGAGCGAGCAGAGTTAATGGATCTAGGTGGTCTTAAATAGGCTAATGCTGATAGGGGATGGCATCTGTAGTCATACTTCAAGAACTGATATGCATGACTTGGTCCTTATTACTTAGATCTGATGGATCTAAGTAATCTAAGGTGGATCTAAGTGATGGATTCACCCCTTCTGGGGTGACATCCCCTTGTAGTTCTAACACTTGTGGATGTTTAGGTATATTCCAGAGGATTGCCCTTAAATTGGTTCATTCTCTTGTCTCTGACTTTTGCTATAGTTAAATTTGAATATTTATTGGGTTTAAATATGGACATTTTTCATACCATGAATCTGTGAGGTGTCTGAGGTTGTACTTTGAACGCCTCTTGACAACAGCTCCTGCTTTAGGAGTCCCAGCCTACTGTGCATGGCGGAAAAAAAGGTGCATGGGGTGGTTTGTTTCTGGTTTTGGTGGTTTTTTGTTTTTTTCGGTTTTCTTTTTTTTTTTTTTTTTAAAAATCTGTATCGGTTCCACAGTCTGGTCTGGCATGGTTCTGCTGATGCATCTCTGGCACCAGTGAGGGGTTGCTTGCCTATAGAACTGAGCAACAGGAGGCTTCAGAGCTGCTGAAGCTGATTATTGTCTCCAAAATCAATGTTTGCTAAACTGCACCCTGAGTTTGTGAATGTGGAAAAGCCTGTTCCCTGGCAGCATGTGCATCAGTAAGAGGACGCTGTGGGTTCATTTCTCTCCTCTCCTTTAGGCTTGCCCTGAATGGGTTTGCAGTGTGATCAAAGTAAGTGCCAGTGGTGACAAAGGAGGGACGGCGAGGCACAGCCAGGTGATGAGAGGAGGACAGGGCTGGTGTTGACTTTGAGTGGCTTATGTTGTCGTGGCACTGCGTCCTTCACCCGGACGGCTGCAAATGACTCGCTGCCTGTCATGTTAAATAGTGTGCAAGTCCTTTCAAGTTTCAGAGTTAGACATCTGCCTGTCTTGCCTTGCTCTTTTCATCTGGTAGGCCTTCCCGTTGTTCGCCTGCTGAATAGCATTCCCCCGCAAGATAACTGAAAACCTCCGTGTGTGTCAGGTTTTTGTGTGCCGTGTTCCCTCCCCTCTCTGTTTGACTTGTAAGGAGTGGGCAGTTGTGCTGTGATAGCGCCTGGGAACCTCTGCAGCACAGGCTGCTGACGGGCAAGCCACTGTGGGTCCCGGTAGGGTTACGCTCTGGGTATCTTTTACCAATTTTGTTCCCATCATCCAGCCTGGAAATCTCAGGCCCTTGACTCTGTCTCAGGAGGGGACAGTCCTGGCTGTGCTGTTGTGCGCGTCTTACCGGGGTGAGGTACCTCTGCCGTGAGCTGCTGAAGCTTAAGCCTCCAAATTAGCAACTGTGAGGATAAGTCTGGCTTGAATAATTCATTGATTTGCCTGTGTTCCTCCTCTTTGCTGCTGACTTTCCACTCAGCTGTAACGGCAAAAAATTCTCGTTGACTAATTGAGCGTTGTCAGAGCATCACCCTGCAGCTGTTCGAGGTGTACGTGTGTCCGCTGCCGAGGAGTAATGGGATACCAGCTTGATAATGCTGGACTTTGTACAGGTGGAAGGGTGCAGAGTGTGTGTGTGGTGTGGGTTTTTTCTTTTTTTTTTTCTTTTTTTTTTTTTTTTTTTTTTTTTTTCTCCTCTCCTCTCTCCACCAGTGATACAGCTGATACCATTCTGTGACCGAAGGAATGTGCTGTGCTGGAAAAGCTCAAGGGCAGGCAGTGATAATGAAAATCGCAGCCCAGCAGGGAGTGTCACCTTTGAAATTAAAGATCAACGGTAGAGATGAATAACAAACCTTGTTTAAGAATTTAGGGCTTTTTTTGTGTGTGTGTGTGTCACTCAGCTTTACTGGAAATAGTTTTTTCTGATGACTAGCTTTGACTTCTGAGACAGGGGAGTAGGTGTGGGAGTAGTTGCTGAAGCTGAGTTCCACAGCATAGTATGGTAAGATCAATTTAGGAAGGTCCTAAATTGGACCTAAATTGGCCCCTTTGATGTTGCACCTTAACCTGCTGGAGCTGCGGGCCGCTGCTGAGGGGTGGGCCTGTGCCTCCCCCCAGCCTCTTGCTCTTTTTCCCACAGAGATCCAGCCCTTCCTTACCCCATGCTCCATTACACTCCGACAGGATGAGCTGCTGGAAAACAGTTGCACGTTTTGCACGTGCGTGTGGTTTTTCCTTTGGATCAGTTTGTGCTGGAGGGGGAAGGTGGGCTGCTGGGGGGGCACGGTGTCCCTTCAGCCGCTGTCTGCCGTTCCTACGCGTGGTGGTGAACCCTCTCTTGTGCTGCTGTGAAGCTGCGTGTGGGGCGGCTCTGTGAACTGGATCGCTGAAAATATCTGGGCTGGAAAAAAATGTTCCAGTGTTTTCACAGCCGGCCCCCCCTCCGCCCTGATCTGTAATCTGACTCATGCTGCCTTCCCAGGGCAGCAGTGCTGGTACAAAGGAGGGGGTGGCAAGCGGAGGAAACTGTTGAGCTGGCTTTGCCAGGCAAAACCTCCTCACACCCTGAGTAATCGCCCAGAAATTCAGCGGTGGTGGCAGAGGTTAGGGGATTTTCTCTGACTTAATAGATGCTGTTGATGCAGCTTGTTGGGAAATGCTTGTGGGGATGACTAATTACTTATAGAAACTTCGCTAGTGAAGAAAAGGTTTGAAAACTTCAGTAGACTTCCGATTTCTCAACACCCGTCTGCTTTCCCCAATTCTTAAAAAAAAAAAAAAAATGTGGAGTGGGGAGAGTGAATAATGTAAAACTGGGAAATAATTGATTCGGTAGTTTCAAAACTACTTCGGTTTCTCTGCTGCCCAGCAAATAAACAGAAGCAAATAACAGAGTTGGCACCGTTGCATCACTTTTCTGTTCTTTTCTGCTCTCACAAATGCCAAAGGGAACCCAGCAATGTGCTGTTGGGAGGTGAGGTGGCCTCACAAGGCAAGAGAGACCGTAACCGTACAGCATTTAATTGCGCAGCATGTTGTTATTACAGAATAGCTGTTTTCTTCTGGGCTTTAGCCTTTGAAGTATAACTTGCCATGAGTGACAATTGGTGCTTGTTCAGTTTTCAGACTGGCTTTTGTTCAAAGCTCTGACCCGTTGGATACGAGATAAATCATGAGTTCAGTTAACATACACTTTTTTTCCCTAGTATTTCTGTATGACAAGTAAAAGTTGTGCTCTTGTATTGCATCTTAAGACCACAGTACTCTTTATTTTCCATATAACTGAATTATCTGAAAGGTAACTGTTGAAAGACAGAGTAGCTGTTCAAGATTGCCTTTTCTTTGCCCCCTATCAGCAGATGAGTGAGGATTAATGTGGCTGTCCTGGCCAGAGTTCAGCTCTGGCAATTCATATTTATCTACCTAAAAGTCACCCATCAGTTACAGTCGGACACAGTATTGAAAGCTTTTAGTGTGCCAAGGGAAATCCATGCCACCACATGCAACTCCAACTCTTGTCCTTCATGGCAGCCTTAATATATATGGGGATGATTATCCTTTCAAGTCTCAGATATGTGACTGAATTGTGTTTCTCCTGGGAATTTAGGCAAAATATCTTACCTCTTGGTATGCAAGATTTATGGGAAATTTAATCACCCTTCTCCCCAGACAACCATATGTCTACTTTTGTACTCTTCCTTCTTTCTTTTTCTCCTTTCATACTGCCTTGCTTTTTTTTCTTCCTGCTCTGAGTTAACCTCTGACTGTCTGATTAAAGCTTATCACAGATGGATAACCATGAAGTATCTCAACATATTTAAAATATTTTTGATTAATTTATTTTCTCCTTCCTAACAGAAAGATCCACAGAAGGAAGAGAAGTTCATATTAGGAATCGTGAATGTGATATATTTACTTATATATGTAGTAATTATTAAAGATAAGACAAAACTAACACTGAAGAGGAACAAGAAATAAAACTGAATATACGATGGTATTTGCCACATGCTGCTATAGATATCGAATTGAGTAGGTATTTTTAGAGCATAGGAAGAGGGTGAGTATATTTTGCAGCAGGAAATGATGGCTTCATAGATATGAACAGATCTATGAATAACGAAGGAGTTCCTGTTTGAGTATTTCGTTTTGTTTCATTTAATGAGTGAATGAGAGTTTCCTAAAAATCTACACTGAAAGAACTTTTTAGTGTTAGAGGGGAAAATCTAAGGAACTACCGAAGACAGCTAAATGAAGCATTGGAAACTTTAAAAAAAACAGAGCGCTACAGAAAGTTCTGAATGAGTTGCTTAGTAGAAATGAACGGGGTTTAATACTGCTTCTGCAACTGAGAAACCTTCAGATCTTTTCTGTGTTGTGTGAAGGGCAATTTCCTGAGGTTTTGGTGTTAATTTGTTATTTACTTCTTAGAGCTCAGCAATATTATTGGCGTTGGACAGTGTATACTTCTGAAATCCTAAGAAGTTTGAGTTTTTAGGACTGCTTTCTCATCCCTCAGCTGGATTTCTGTTGGGTTGCAGGTGGTTCCCTCTTGTCTGCCTATCTGTTGGTAGCAAAGCCCTTTGGGGAGAGATCAGATTCTGGCAGCCGCTGACCCTCTGAAGCCGGGGGTTGGAGCCTGCACTGATCTCGCTTTGGCTTCGTCCCTGCTTTTTAGAAGAAACAGCGATTTGCAACGTATGAAGAGTAGGTTGTAATATTGTAGGGTCATTTACAAGTCTTTAAAATGGAAGCTTTTAAAAATGGTCGGCACTTGG